CAAGCCAGGGCAAACGAGCACTCTTGGCTAAAGTGAGTCAATCGGTGCTAATGTATGCGGCGCCAATATGGGGACCAGCAATGCGAAATAAGACATACGCGAAGAAAGCAAGATATCTGACTCGATTAAATGCAATAAGAGTTATATGCGGATTCCGCACGGTATCACACGATGCGGCTGGGGTCATAGCGGGTATCATACCACCGGATATAATGGCGTTAGAGCTCAAAAGAGTCTACGAAAAATCAAGAAGCGTTAGGAGGTGTCTTACAACAGAGGAGCGAAATAAAGAAAGGGAGGAAATTTTATGTGAGTGGCAGAGGCGCTGGGACATAGCAGAAAATGGAAGGTGGACATATAAGCTAATCAGAAAGGTGAAAACATGGATGGAGAAGAAGAATGGCGATTCTGATTACTACCTGACGCAATTCCTGACCGGACACGGATGCTTTCGAGAGTATCTGTATAAATACGTTCACGATAATGAAACAGAATGTTCATTCTGGGGAAATGGCAGCGAAAACGCAGATCATAATTTCTTTTACTGCCCGAAATTCGAAGCAGAAAGAAAATACATAGAAATCAGTATCAACGAACGTGTAACCCCTGAGAATATCGTGCACCACATGATAAAAAGSAAAATCGTGTGGAATAAAGTGAAGAATTGGTCCTCAATTGTTCTTCAAGAACTGAGAAAAAAGGGAAAGGTAACGAAGTAGCGATAGCAGAAGAGTTAGAGAAGAGTAGTCCAGAAAGGTGACCACGAAGAGCCAATTTTGGCTGAGCCTGATCCTGCGAAGAAATGCTTAACGGCAGTCCTGTAGGATCAAAGAAATGCAGTCGGCATTAGGGTTTAGTACGTAGGTATACTGTCACGAAAGTTCAGCATGGTATGATCATCCATAATAGGCGTGGTCCCGAAAGAGGTGTACCCTTAGTGGGCAGTATGAATCGTGCATGCCGTCCAGGACTGACGGTATCTATGAAAGATTCCCCCTTCTTGGGTTTTTGTGTCTTATTTTTGAATGTAGACATACAGATTTTGTATGCTTTTCCCAAGGGGTCTTCGTTTGCTTCCTCACAGAGTTTTTCAAAACACTTCTTTTTACTGCGGCCAATGGCTGATTTTAAAAAAGCTTCTTCTGACTTTTAAATATTTGTCTGAGACTGCTTTCATATTCGTCCCGTTGATTACGTTGCAGACATACAGACCAAGATCGCGCATAGCCTGGTTTATGTGCCTTTGGCCAGCCATCAAGTTCTCCAGTTCTTTTATTTTACTACCCAACTGGTTAAAAATTTGGGTAGTTTTGCTACTTTGTATTTTTTCCGAGCGTTTGACAATATCTTATCTTATATTTAGTGGCCATTTAGTTGTATTAACTTTCGAAAAGCTTCAGCAAAGAAATCGCTAGCAATTGGTGTGAAAAACTAGGAATTTTTGACAAAATCCAAGGACCGCACCAAAACCACAGCCACTTCACTTGAAATATTCATGTATGTTGGTTTGTGTATACATTATTTTTTCCGCAATGTCGTACACATATGCATATACATATAGAGCAGTGCGCGCACACTTTTTACTGATAAATGATAATATTACGATTTGAATTTGAATTCTATTTCCATATGTATGTATGTACATACATATGTACTATATCATATTTGCAAACATATTCATATATGAAATTATAATATATCCTCAAACATAAAAAATATTTAATAAATAACATTTAATTGCACATTAACATAAGCATATATTCATAGAAATACGCAAAATGATAATCATATCAATTAATATGATTGCATGTAAACGTATAAAATTATATACAAAAGGCCAACATACGTCTGTAATAGCAATGCATGTTTCTGAGCATAATTTTCATTGAATGCTCTGCTCTGTTCACGCGCCACTGTTAAAGTTTTTCCTTCTTAGCTGGCTGTGGTGAAACGCACTCATCGCATTTTGTTAGCTTTTGACAGTTTACACGCCTGTCCGTTGTTGGACCTTCTCTATAAATATACGTTCTCTGTTCGGACCTTTGACATCAATTCCTTATCCTCCGCTTCCAATTGACTGTCTCTGGTTTTAGTTTTTTTAGTTTGTTTTGAATTCGCGCCCGTTTAATATGTTTTTATTTCTATTTTGTGTTTGGATTTCGCGCCCGGTTGATGGTTTAGCTTTATAACCCGCTTGTGTTTTCTGTTTTTGGCAAATATGTTTTTATTTTTCCGCACTCTATTGCATTATATGTGTTTGTTTTTGTTTTTGTAACACACTTTTTTCAACTAAATTTTTTTTACCACCATACTTTTAATTGGTATGTATGAATGTACTATATATTTTTTTGTTTCTTATATGTACTTGTGAACAGCAATGTCCTTTTTTTCTCTTTGTTCGCCGCTGTTTTCTGGACGAAACCAATAGTTGTAGTGTCATCACCTGTGGTGAATTAAGCTGTTTTGGGAGAAGCTTAACTCATTTAAAAAATATTTAATAAACACAGACATGTAAAATCGTTTGATAATATTATAATATTTATATGATTGTAATATAACATTTTTATATACATATATTTGCATACTTTATACTATAATAAAATCATCCCACAATATTATAAATTGTTTTTATTGTTTGCGCTCTAAAATAATAGCCCTGGCCGAGCGAATACCCGGAGTGACTGAAGTACTTTCGCGTAATACTCCTTTCTGCGTTAAAAAATATTATAATATTATTTGTGTTAAAAAAATATATTGAGTTTTTGTTATATAGTGGTTATATTTTTTGGTTATCATGCACTCCTATTGAAACAAAATTTGAGACTAGCTCTCGCGCCTATAAGTCGTGTCTTTTGCATTTCGAGTTTTTTTTTTTACTTTTTCTGTTTCTTCTTTTCGGCCCTCTTATATACGTTTAATCCGTTCTTTCTTACTTTTCTCTTTTACTGTTCGCGCGCAGAATCTTATTCATCAGTGTTTCTCATGCAAAATGGTCCCTGGGCCTCAAATTATAGAGGCGAATCGTTCCGCCGTATTCGATACAGGACCTGATAAAAAAAAAAACGTAAAATTGGTAAAAGTGTTTCGGTTATGGATTTTCCAGAACTGCCAGATATAAAAGTTGACGACCCCAAATTCGTAGTAATGGAAGCTACTGACTCGACCAAACCCCTTTCCTACTATTCCTGCTTTGCTATTTATCGTGCCATTAAGCAAATTAGTGATTACGTTCCATATCTACCCTTCGAGATGGTAAACTACTTCTGCTTGTCAAGAATAACGATATTGCAAAAAAATCCTGAAAGTAAAAGAACTGCCCAACATATGTTCAATATCAGCCACTCTATATGAGTCTCTGAACCAAGTAAAAGGAACGATATTTGCTCCATTTCTAAACAACGTTTCAACGGTATCGTGGCAGTATTTAAATTTAATAAGTTTATAGAAGAAAAACCGCACCCCTTCACCTTCAATCTCTGCAAGTTGCCAAATAAAATTGACGTTGTCTTTTGGTCCGTCAATATATTAGTTCGCCAATGCGCTGCAAAAATTGTCAACTTCTTGGTCATACAGCAAAGCGCTGTAATCGTTCGCCTCTTTGTGTTATATGTTCATTCTCTCCCCATGCCCCATAGGATTTCGAACGCATTTTTTAAATCAGCAGCGTCCAACAACACGTATCATCCTCTAAAGACGGTACCAAATTTTTACAAGCAAAAAGTAAAAATTCATATGGAACAAACAACGCCAGCTTTTCTATCTAATAACACCTATGCTCAATAGCATCCAACCAATAGTAACGTTGACTATTCAGCCCCCGTAATCACTAAAAATTTTAGTTCTCCCAACACTCAAAGATCAAATTCACCAAAAATAGCACTCAATCTACAAGCATTTCTCCTTTATCTACCAATATTTCCAAATCGCCCATAGTGGAATCCTCTCAAGCATTAGAAAGGAACATTTGAACGACTCAGTGGTCGGCATTTCATAGCAAAATTTTGCAAACTAACTTCACACGTACGCTTACGCTCTATCGTTCAGTCGTTTTCGAGCCAGCAACGAATGAACATCGCGTTAGACTATAGCGCAAAACCAAATATGCCCCGCGAGAAATATTTTATTATTCTAAATGCCTTTGGTGCCATGTATTGCCTTTTATGTTCCAAGTATTTTAAAGATAATA